CCCATTCCCAATTCCTCCCCGACCCTTCCTGTATCCATTCTCCGATCCCAGTCTATCCCAGTCCATCCCAATCCCATCCCAATCCCTCCCAGTCTCCCCCAGTCCCATCCCAATCCCTCCCAGTCCATCCCAGTTTGGTCCCAGTCCATCCCATTATCCCATCCCAGTATCCCTTTATCCCATCCCAGTGCCATCCCAGTCCATCCCAGTCCCCTACCCGTCCATCCCAGTCCATCCCAGTCCATCCCAGCCCATCCCAGTCCATCCCAGTCCATCCCAGTCTCCTCCCAGTCCATCCCAGTCTCATCCCAGTCCATCCCAGTATCCCATTATCCCCTCCCAGTCCGTCCCAGTCTCACCACCATCAGCGCCACCAGCTCGGCCTTGTGGGCGATGCTGCCGGGGCCGTTCCCGGGGCCGTTCCCGGGGTCACTCCCAGGGTAACTCTCCAAATTCCCGGGATTCTTCCCGGAGTTCTTCCCGGAGCCGCCGCAGGCCAGGGCGCGGCTGATCATGGAGACGCTGCGGGCCACGCTCAGCTTCAGCACCGGGTCCTGAGGGGCCGCAACGGAACCGCGGTCAGCACCGGCACCGGGGTCAGCACCGGGATCAGAACCGCGGTCAGCACCGGGACCGCGGTCAGCACCGGGACTGCGGTCAGCGGGACCGCGGTCAGCACCGGGATCAGCACCGGGACCAGCACCGGGGTCAGCACCGGGACCGCGGTCAGCACCGGGACCGGGACCAGCACTGGGACCGGGGTCAGCACCGGGTCCTGAGGGGCCGCAACGGAACCGCGGTCAGCACTGGGATCAGAACCGGGGTCAGCACCGGGACCGGGGTCAGCACCGGGACTGCGGTCAGCGGGACCGGGGTCAGCACCGGGATCAGAACCGGGATCAGCACCGGGGTCAGCCCAGAACTGGGATTGGGATCAGCCCGGGATCAGCCCCAGGGTCAGCACCGGGGTCAGCACCGGGGTCAGCACCGGGACCGGGGTCAGCACCGGGACCGGGGTCGGGACCAGGGTCAGCACCGGCACCGGGGTCAGCACCGGGGTCAGCCCGGAACCAGGATCAGGATCAGCCCAGAACTGGGATTGAGATCAGTCCGGAACTGGGATCACTGGGATTGGGATTACTGGGATTGGGATCAACCTGGAAATTGGGATTGGGATCAGCCCGAAACTGGAATTGGGATCTGCGGGATCGGCCTGGAACTGGGACTGGGATCAGTGGGACTGGCCCAGAAACTGGGATCGGGATCAGCGGGATTGGGATCAACCCAGGACTGGGATCAGGATCAGCCCAGGACTGGGATTGAGATCAGCCTGGAACTGGGATCACTGGGATTGGCATTACTGGGATTGGGATCAACCCTGAACTGGGATCAGCCCAGGACTGGGATCGGGATCAGCCCAAAACCTGGGATCAGCACAATTGGGATCATCGGGATTGGGATTATTGGGATTGGGATCAGCCTGGAACCTGGGAACAAACCTAAAACAAAACTGGTATGGAATACAAGAAAATAAAAATAAATTAAAGTAAACTAAACTAAAATATAAAATAAAAATAAAATAAATAAAATAAAATAAATAAAATAAAATAAATAAAATAAATAAAATGAAATAAAATAAAGTAACCAAAATAAAATAAAATAAAATAAATAAAAATAGAAAATAAGTAAAATAAAAATAAAATAAATAAAATAAATAAAATAAATAAAATCAAATAAATAAAATAAATAAAATCAAATAAATAAAATAAATAAAATCAAATAAATAAAATAAATAAAATCAAATAAATAAAATAAATAAAATCAAATAAATAAAATAAATAAAATCAAATAAATAAAATAAATAAAATCAAATAAATAAAATAAATAAAATAAAATAAAATAAATAAAAATAGAAAATAAGTAAAATAAAAATAAAATAGAATAAAATATAAAAATAAAATAAATAAAATAAAACTAAAAAATTAAAAAATTAAAAAAATAAAATAAAACAAAACAAAACAAAAAAACACCAAAATAAAATAAAATAAAATAAAATAAAATAAAATAAAATAAAATTCCACAAAAAAATCCAGCAATCCCAGCAAAACCCAGGAAATGCAGAAAGACCCAGGAATCACGGAAAAACCCAGGAATTTTGGGGAAGCCGTTAGTGGCAGCCAGAGGCGTTAGGGGAGAACAGGGAGGGAATTCCAGAGGGGAAAATTCCATGGAAAACCCCGGGAATGGCCCAAGGGAACCCTCGGAATTCCCGGGATGGGAAAACCTCGGGATTGGTCCCAAGGGAAGCTCGGGGGGATTTGGGATTTTGGGAATTTGGGGGTTTTGGGAATTTTGGGAGTGGGGAATTTGGGATTTGGGGATTCGGAGATTTTGGGGAATCTGGGATTGGGGAATTTGGGATTTGGGATTTTGGAATTTTGGGGATTTGGGAATTTGGGGAATTTGGGATTTTTGGGATTGGGGATTTGGGAATTTGGGATTTGGAGATTTTGGGATTGGGGAATTTGGGATTTTGGAATTTTGGAGATTTGGGAATTTGGGATTTTTTGGATTGGGGAATTTGGCATTTTGGGATTTTGGGAATTTGGGATTTTGGGGATTGGAGATTTTAAGCATTTTGGAATTGGGGAATTTGGGGATTGGGGATTTGGGAATTTGGGATTTGGAGATTTTGGGATTGGGGAATTTGGGATTTGGGATTTTGGATTTTGAGATTGGGATTTGAGAATTTTGGGATTTGGGAATTTTGGAAATTTGGAGATTTTTGGGATTTTGGGGATTTTGGGGATTTGGGGAATTTTGGGATGAATCCCAGGCTGGGGAGGCCTTTGGGAAACTCAAAAATGTCAGGGAATTTTCTGGAATTACGAAACAACAGAATTCCAGAATTAGGGAATTCTGGGATTGTGGAATTCATGGAATTCTGGGATCATGGAATTCCTGGAATTGTGGAATTCCACACCAATTAAATTATGGGATCATAGAGTTATGGAATTTATGGAATTCTGGGATTATGGAATTCCAGATTTACGGATTTCTGGAGTCATGGAATTTTTGGAATACAGGAATTCCGGAATAATGAAATTCTAGGATCATGGAATTCTGGGATCATGGAATTCATGGAATTTATGGAATTCCGCGATTATGGAATTATGGAATTAATGGATTTTAGGGATCACGGAATTTCTGGAATAGTGGAATTCCAGGACAATGAAATTCTGGGATAATGGAACTTACGGAATTCTGAGATTATGGAATTCTGGAATTTATGGATTTTAAGGATCACAGAGTTTCTGGAATTGTGGAATTCCAGAATAAGGGAATTATGAGATCATGGAATTCTGGGATCGTGGAACTTATGGAATTCTGAGATGATGGAATTCTGAAATTAATGGAATTCCAGACTTATGGATTTCTGGGGTCATGGAATTTTTGGAATACGGGAATTCCAGAGTAATGGGATTATGGAATTCTGGGATCATGGAATTTACGGAATTCCTGGAACTGTGGCATTCCAGAACAATGAAATGATGGGATCACAGAGTTATGGAATTTATGGAATTCTGGGATTATGGAATTATGAAATTAATGGAATTCCAGACTTATGGATTTCAGGGATCACGGAATTCCTGGAATTGTGGAATTCCAGATTGTGGGATCATTGGGTTATGGGATCATGGTAATGCGACATTCCAGAATTACGGAATTCTGGGATCGTGGCATTCCAGCTTCATGGAATCACGGAATTCTGGAATTGTGGAATTGTGTAGTTCTGGGATTTCTGGAATTTTGGGAATCATGGAATTGTGGAATTCTGGAGCAATGGAATTCTAGAATTCAGGAATCAAGGAATTCTGGGATGGAAATCTGGAATTCCAGAATGACAGAATCCTGGAATTAAGGAATCATGGAATTCCTGAGCGATGGAATTATGGGATCGTGGGATTATGGAATTACGTGAAAATGGAATCATGGAATTCCAGGATCGTGGAATTATGGAATTAATGGAATTCCAGACTTATGGATTTCAGGGATCACGGAATTTCTGGGAAAGTGGAATTTTGGGAGCATGGAATTCCAGAATTCTGGAATTCTGGGATCATGACATTGTGGAATTCCAGAATTTTGGGATCATGGAATTCCAGATTCACGGAATTAAGGGATTGTGGAATTCCAGAATTCCGGAATTCTGGAGCCGTGGATTTCTGGGATCACGGAATTTCGGGATCATGGAATTCCAGAAACACGGGATCATGGAATTGATGGAATTCTGGGATCATGGAATTCCAGATTCACGGAATTAAGGGATTGTGGAATTCCAGAATTCCGGAATTCTGGAGCCGTGGATTTCTGGGATCACGGAATTCCGGGATCATCGGGGCCAGGAAAGGCCTTTTCCCATCCCCTTTTCCTGGGAATTTCCCCGGGAATTTTTCCAGGAATTCCGGCGTTTTCTCGGGAAGTGCTTCCAGCCCGGAATGAGAAAGAAAAAGCAGAAAAAGGAAAAATTCCAACCCCAAATTCCCTACCTTGGTCTCTACTTTTATTCCCAGAACCTGAACGGGTGGAAAAAATAAAATTCCCATCAGGAAAATCCCAAATTCCAGCGGGAGAAATAAAATTCCAGCAGGAAAATCCAAAATCCCATTGGAAAAACTGAAATTCCAGTGGGAAAAAATTAAATTTAACCAGGAAAAAAACAAATTCCCATTGGAAAAACAACAAATTCCAGCAGAAAAAACCCCAAAAATCCATCAGAAAAATCAGAATTCCCAAGGAAAAACCAAATTCCATCCGGAAAAAAATGGAATTCCAGTGGTAAACCCCAAATTTCAGTGGGAAAAATAAAATTCCATCGGGAAGAAACAAAATTCCAACAGGAAAAAATTAAATTTCAGTGGGAAAAATCCCAAATCCCATTGGATAAAACCCAATCCCAAAACCTCCAAACCCTGGGAATGATCCCCACCACTTTTTATTTTTATTTTTGGGAAAATCTCCCACCAAATCCCAGAAAATTCCTGGAAATCTGCTGGGAAATCACAGAAAATTGCTGGAAAATTATCAGAAAATTCCTGAAAAATTTGTGGGAAATTCTCAGAAAATTCTTGAAAAATTCCTGAGAAATTCTTGTGACCTTTCCAGGAAATTCCTCCAAAAATCTGGAAAAACTCCCAGAAAATTCCTGGAAAATTCCATGAAAATTTCTGTGAAATCCTGGAAAATTCCCAGAACATTCCCAGGAAATTCCTCAAAAATTCCCAGAAAATTCCCAGAAAATTCCCCCAACATTCCTGGGAAATTACTGGAAAATTCTCAGGAAATTACTGGGAATTTCCCATGAGATTCCCAGGAAATTCCTTGAAAATTCCAGTGAAAGCCTCTAAAATTCCAAAAAAATTAAAAACTGAAATATTTCCAGAAATTTCCTGAAAACTTCCAGGAAAATTCCCAAAAAATCCCCCCCAAAAATCTGGGAAATTCCCATGAAATTCCCAGAAAATTCCTGTGAAATCCTGGAAAATTCTAGAAAAATTCCAGCAAAATTAAAAAAAAATTGCTGAAAAATTCCAGGAATATTTTCAAAAAAATCCCCATAAAAATCTGGGAAATTAAAGAAAATCTCCCCAAAATTCCCAGAAAATTTCTCCAGAAATCTGCAAAATTCCCATAAAATTCCTGGAAAATCCTGGAAAATTCCTGGTAAATCCCCTGAAAATCCTGGAAAATTCTGCCAATATTCCCAGAAAATTACTGGAAAATTCCCAGAAAATTCCTGAAAAATTCCCAATAAACTCCGGAAAATTTCCCTATAAATTCCCCAAAAAAAACCCCACAAAATTTCTCGAAAGTTGTTTAAAATTCGCAGAAAATTGCCAAAAAATTCATTAAAAATTCCCAGAAAATCCCCAATAAATTCCCAAATATTTCCCAATAAGTTCCCGATAAATCCCCAATAAATCCCCAATAAATCCCCAATAAATTCCCAAAAAATCCCTGATAAATCACAGAAAAAACCCCAATAAATTCCTGATAAATCAAAAACAAATTCCTAATAAATCCCCAATACATTCCCATAAAAAGTCCCAAAAAATTCCCAATAAATTACCAAAAAATCCCCAATAAATTTCCAATAAATTCCTAAAAAATTCCCAAAAATTTCCTAAAAAAATCCCAATAAATCCCCGATAAATTCCCCAATAAATCCCCAATAAATCCCACCCTTGGCCCCAACCCCGGCGCGGGCGTGACGCAGCAGGCACGGCAGGAGCTGCCCCTCGAGAAAAATTACTAAACAATTCCCAATAAATCGCAGAAAAATTCCTAAAAAATTCCCAATAAATTCCTGAAAAACTCCTAAAAAATTCCCATAAAATCCCCAATAAATCCCTGATAAATTCTCATTAAATCCCCAACAAATCCCCAATCAATCCCCGATAAATCCCCAATAAATCTCCAATAAATTCCTGATAAATCCCTGATAAATCACCAATAAATTGCCAAAAAATCCCCAATAAATTCCTGAAAAACTCCCAAAAATTCCCAATAAATCGCAGAAAAATTCCTAAAAAATCCCCAATAAATCGCCGAAAAATTCCCAATAAATTACTATAAAATTCCCACTAAATTCCCATAAATCCCCAATAAATTACCATAAAATCACCAATAAATTGCCAAAAAATCCCCAATAAATTTCTAATAAATTCCTAAAAAATCACAAAAATAATCCCAAAAATTTCCTAAAAAATTCCCAATAAATCCTTGATCAATCCCCATTAATTGGCACCCTTGGCACCGACCTTGGCGCGGGCGTGCTGCATCAGGCGTGGTAGGAGCTTCCCCTCGAGAAAAATCCCCAATAAATCCCCATTGATTGGCGTCCCTGGCACCGACCTTGGTGCGGGCGTGGCGCAGCAGGCGCGGCAGGAGCTCCCCCTTGAGAAACATTCCCAATAAATTCCCAATAAATCCCCGATCAATCCCCAATAAACCCCAGAGCTTCCCCTCGAGAAAAATCCCCAATCAATCCCCAATCAATCCCTAATAAATTCCCAATAAATCCCCCAAAAAATCCCATAAAATTCCCAATAAATTCCTAAAAAAATCCCAAAAAAATCCCAAAAAATCCCTGATAAATCCCCAATAAATCCCCACTGATTGGCACCCCTGGCACCGACCTTGGCGCGGGCGTGGCACAGCAGGCGCAGCAGGAGCTGCCCCTTGAGAAAAATTCCCAAAAAATTCCTGAAAAATCCCCAATAATTTGCCAAAAAATCCCCAATAAATTCCTAGAAAATTCCCAATAAATTAAAAAAAAATCCCCAATAAATTGCCAAAAAATCCCCAATTAATTCCAAAAAAATCCCCAATAAATTGCCAAAAAATCCCCAATTATTTCCTGAAAAATTCCCAAAAAATCCCCAATAAATTGCCAAAAAATCCCCAATTAATTCCTGAAAAATTCCCAAAAAATCCCCGATAAATCCCCAATAAATCCCCGATAAATCCCCAATAAATCCCTGATCAATCCTCATTAAATTCCCAATCAATCCCCATTAAATACCCAACAAATCCATGATAAATCCAAAATAAATCCCTGATAAATCCCCAACCCCAATAAATTGCCAAAAAAATAAATTCCCAATAAATCCCCAATAAATCCCTGATGAATCCCCAATAAACCTCATCCCTGGCACCCACCTTGGCGTGCGCGTGGCGCAGCAGGCGCGGCAGCAGCTGCCCCTCAAGAAACATTCCCAAAAATCCCCAATAAATCCCCGATAAATCCCCGATAAATTAACTAAAATTCCCAATAAATCCCCAATCAATCCCTAATCAATCCCCAATAAATCTCCAATAAATCCCCAATAAATTGCCAATAAATTCCCAATAAATTACTGAAAAATCCCAATAAAATCCCATAAAATTCCCAAGAAATTCCTAAAAAATTCCCAAAAAATTCCCAATAAATTCCCAATAAATTGCAGAAAAATTCTAAAAAAATTCCCAATAAATTCCTAAAAAATTCCAAAAAAAATCCTAATAAATCCCCGATAAATTCCCATTAAATCCTCAATAAATTCCTGAAAAATCTGCAATAAATTCCTGAAAAATTCCCAATAAATCCCCAATCAATCCCCGACCAATCCCCGATAAACCCCAGCCCTGGCACCCACCTTGGCGCGGGCGTGGCGCAGCAGCAGCTTCCCCTCGAGAAAAACTCCCAATAAATCCCCAATCAATCCTCACTAAATCCCCAATAAATCCCCGATAAATTGCCAAAAAATCCCCAATAAATTCCTAAAAAATTCCCAAAAAATTCGTGAGAAATTCCTAATAAATTGCCAAAAAATCCCCAATAAATTCCTGAAAAATTCCCAATAAATTGCAGAAAAATTCCGAAAAAATTCCCAATAAATTCCTAAAAAATCCCTAATAAATCCCCAAAACATCCCCAATCAATCCCCGATCAATCCCCGACAAACCCCAGCCCTGGCACTGACCTTGGCATGCGCGTGGCGCAGCAGGCGCGGCAGGAGCTGCCCCGCGAGAAAAATTCCCAAAAAATCCCCAATAAATCCCCGATAAATTAACTAAAATTCCCAATAAATTCCTAAAAAAAATCCCAATAAATTACTGAAAAATTCCCCAAAAATTCCCAATAAATCACAGAAAAAATCCTAAAAAATCCCCAAAACATCCCCAATCAATCCCCGATCAATCCCCGACAAACCCCAGCCCTGGCACTGACCTTGGCATGCGCGTGGCGCAGCAGGCGCGGCAGGAGCTGCCCCGCGAGAAAAATTCCCAAAAAATCCCCAATAAATCCCCGATAAATCCCTAATCAATCCCCAATAAATCCTTGATAAATCCCCAGTAAATTGCCAATAAATTCCTGAAAAATCCCCAAAAATTCCTGAAAAATCCCCAATTAATTCCTGAAAAATTCCCAATAAATTCCCAATAAATCCCCAATAAATCCCCGATCAATCCCCATTAAATCAGCATTAATCACCGTCCCTGGCACCCACCTTGGCGTGCGCGTGGCGCAGCAGGCGCGGCAGCAGCTGCCCCTCGAGAAACATCCCCAATCAATCCCCGATCAATCCCCAATCAATCCCCAATCAATCCCCACTGATTGGCACCCCTGGCACTGACCTTGGCGTGCGCGTGGCGCAGCAGGCGCGGCAGCAGCTGCCCCTCGAGAAAAACTCCCAATCAATGCCCAATCAATCCCCGATCAATCCCACCCCTGGCACCCACCTTGGCGTGCGCGTGGCGCAGCAGGCGCGGCAGCAGCTGCCCCTCGAGGCGCGCGCGCAGCAGCTCCGGCGGCGCGGCCGCCGCCACGCGGCCCCAGCAGAGCAGGAGCGCCCCGCGCTGCTTCTCCTGCTCGGGGAAAAAATGGGGGAAAACCTGGGAGAAATGGGGGTAAAAATAGGGAAAGTGGGGGGGAAATGGGGGGAAATATGGGGGGAAAATGGGGGAAAAACATGGAGGAAATATGGGGAAAATGGGGGTAAAAATAGGGGAAGTGAGGGGAAAATGGGGGGAAAATAGGGACAAAAATGGGGGAATATGGGGGGAAATATGGGGGGAAATGAGGGGAGGTAACGGGGCAAAAATAGGGAGGAAATATGGGAAAATTGGGGGGAAAACCAGGGAGAGTGAGAAGGGAAATGGGGGGGGAATATGAGGGGAATGGGGGGTAAAATGGGGCAGAAATAAGGAAAAATAGGGGGAAAATAAGGGAAAATGGGAGGAAAATGGAGGGAAAATATAGAAAAAACAGGGGGGAGAAATATGGGAAAAATGGGAGGAAAACATGGAAAAATATGGGAAAATGTGGGGAAAACATGGAAAAAACAAGGAAAAAACAGAAAAAATATGGAAAAATGTGGGAGAAATACGGGGGGAAATGGAAAAAAGTGGGAAAATGTGGGAATATGTGGAAAAAAGGGGGAAAGTGTGGGAAAAATATGGAAAAAAATGTGGAAAAACACAGGAAAAACCATGGAAAAACATGGAAAATAACAAAATTCCAGATTCATGAAATTATAGGATTATGGAATTTATGGAATTAAGAAATCGTGGATTTAAGGGCTCGTGGAATTGTGGAATTCCAGAATTGGGGAATTAAAGGAATGATGGAATTTTGGGATTGTGGAATTCCAGAATCAGGGAATTCCCATAAAAATCATGGAAATCCTCCCGAAATGCCAAGGAATGGATGGAAAATTCCCAAAAAATCCCAACCCGAGGCCGTTGCCGTCCCTCCCCATTCCCATTTTTCCCGAAAATTCCCACCTTGAAGATGCTGAACAAGCCCTGGGATTTCTTGAAGACGTCGGATTTCTCAAATTCCTCCAATTTTTCCAAAGTTTCTTCGAGGTGATTCCGGGCGCAGATCCCGAAGCAGGACGAGAGACCCTGAGGGAATTCCGGGAAAAAAACCCTGGAGCAGAATTCCCAGAGTTTTTCCAGGATTTATTCCCGGCTCCTGAGGTGTGCTAAGGGAATTTCCAGCTGGAATTCCAGGGATTTTGGGAGGGAATTCCGGGCTGGGATGGGATTTCCAGGGAATTTTGGAGGTTTTGTGCCTGGAATTGCAGGAAAATGGGGGTTGGGAGTGTTGGAAAAGCTGGAAAAAGGTGGGGAAAAAAAAGCTAGGAAAAAAGGTGGAAAAAAGGATGGAAAAATGTGGAAAAACACAGGAAAAACCATGGAAAAACATGGAAAATAACAAAATTCCAGATTCATGAAATTATAGGATTATGGAATTTATGGAATTAAGAAATCGTGGATTTAAGGGCTCGTGGAATTGTGGAATTCCAGAATTGGGGAATTAAAGGAATGATGGAATTTTGGGATTGTGGAATTCCAGAATCAGGGAATTCCCATAAAAATCATGGAAATCCTCCCGAAATGCCAAGGAATGGATGGAAAATTCCCAAAAAATCCCAACCCGAGGCCGATCCCGTCCCTCCCCATTTCCATTTTTCCCATTTTTCCCGAAAATTCCCACCTTGAAGATGCTGAACAAGCCCTGGGATTTCTTGAAGACGTCGGATTTCTCAAATTCCTCCAATTTTTCCAAAGTTTCTTCGAGGTGATTCCGGGCGCAGATCCCGAAGCAGGACGAGAGACCCTGAGGGAATTCCGGGAAAAAAACCCTGGAGCAGAATTCCCAGAGTTTTTCCAGGATTTATTCCCGGCTCCTGAGGTGTGCTAAGGGAATTTCCAGCTGGAATTCCAGGGATTTTGGGAGGGAATTCCGGGCTGGGATGGGATTTCCAGGGAATTTTGGAGGTTTTGTGCCTGGAATTGCAGGAAAATGGGGGTTGGGAGTGTTGGAAAAGCTGGAAAAAGGTGGGGAAAAAAAAGCTAGGAAAAAAGGTGGAAAAAAGGATGGAAAAATCTGGAAAAAGATGGGAAAAAGCTGGAAAAAGATGGGAAAAAAGGTGGAAAAAAAGCAGGGAAAAAGGTGGAAAAAAGATGGAAAAATTTGGAAAACAAATGGAAAAAAGCTGGAAAAAGGTGGGGGAAAAAAGATGGAAAAAGAACTGGAAAAAGAGGGAAAAACCTGGGAAAAGCTGGAAAAAAGATGAAAAAAGATGGAAAAAAGATGGAAAAAAGATGAAAAAGCTGGAAAAGGCTGGGGAAAAGTTGGGAAAAAGCATGAAAAAAGCTGAAAAAACCTGGGAAAAAAAGTAAGATGGAAAAAAGCTGAAGAAAAAGCAGGAAAAAAGCTGGAAAAATCTGGAAAAAAGCAAAAAACAAGCTGGTTAAAAAGTGGGAAAAAAGTGGGAGGAAAAGTGGGGGGAAAAGCTGAAAAAAATCTGGGAAGATCTGGAAAAAGCTGGGAAAAAGATGGAAAAAAGGCTGGGAAAAAAGATCTCAAAAAAAAAAAGCAGAAAAAAGTTGGGAGAAAAGCTGAAGAAAGATGGAAAAAAAGCTGTGAAAAAGCTGGAGAAAAGGTGGAAAAAAGGTGGAAAAAATGGAAAAAAGATGGAAAAAAGATGGAAAAACCTCGGCTCCAGGAAGGAATTGATCCAAAAACTCTGGAATTTTGAGTTGGGATTCCCAGGGAATTCCAGGATTTTAGTTGAGATTTCCTACCGAATTCCAGGATTTTGGTTGGGATTTTCAAGGAATTCCAGGATTTTAACTGGGGTTTCTCAGGGAATTCTGGGATTTTAGTTGGAATTTCCAAGGAATTTCAGGATTTCAGTCAGGATTCCATGGAATTACCACAGAATTCCAGGATTTTACAATAGATTTCCCCAGGAATTCCACGGAATCCCAGAATTTTAGTTGGAATTTCCAAGGAATTCCAGGAGTTCAGTTATAATCCCACAGAATTCCAGGATTTTAACCAGAATGCCAGGATTTTAGAAAGATTTCCCAAGAATTCCAGGATTTTACCTGAGAATCCCAGGGAATTCCAGAATTCTATCTGGGAATCCCAGGGAATTCCAGGATTTTAGAAAGATTTCCCCAGAATTCCAGGATTTTAGCTGGGAATCCCAGGATTTGAGTTGGGGCTCCATGGAATTCCAGGATTTTTCCCACGACTCCCTCAGAATTCCATTACTTTATCCAGTATTCCCTCAGAATTCCATTACTTTATCCATGATTCCCTCAGAATTCCAGGATTCTAGCCACGATTTCTCCAGAATTTCAGGATTTTATCCATTATTCCCTCAGAATTCCACGATTTTATCCACGATTCCCACAGAATTCCACAACTTTATCGCCAAATTCCTCAGAATTCCCGGATTTTATCCACAATTCCCTCAAAATTCCATGATTCCCTCAGAATTCCATGATTTCAGCTGGGAATCCCAAGATCTGAGTGGGAGCTCCATGGAATTCCAGGATTTTACCCACAATTCCCTCAGAATTCCACAATTTTATCCACAATTGCCTCAGAATTCAAGGATTTTACCCACGATCCCCTCAGAATTCCAGGATTTTATCCATGTTCCAGGATTTTGTCCACGATTCTCTCAGAAATCCATAATTTTACCGACAACTCCCTCAGAATTCCATGATTTTATCCACAATTCCCTCAGAATTCCAGGATTTTATTCACTATTTCCCTGGAATTCCAGGATTTCACCCATGATTCCCTCAGAATTCCACAACTTTATGCCCGATTCCCTCAGAATTCCAGGATTTTATCCACAATTCCCTCACAATCCCAGGATTTTACCCACGATTCCCTCAGAATTCCAGGATTTTATTCACTATTTCCCTGGAATTCCAGGATTTTACCCACAATTCCCTCAGAATTCCAAAACTTTATGCCGGATTCCCTCAGAATTCCAGTATTTTACTCACAATTCCCTCATAATTCCATGATTTTACCCACGATTCCCTCACAATTCCAGGATTTGCCCATGCTTCCCTCAGAATTCCAGGATTTTATCCACAATTCCCTCAGAATTCCACAATTTTATCCACGATTCCCTCGGAATTCCAGGATTTTATCCACAATTCCCTCACAATCCCAGGATTTTACCCACGATTCCCTCAGAATTCCATTACTTTATCCACGATCCCCTCAGAATTCCAGTATTTTACTCATAATTCCCTCATAATTCCATGATTTTACCCACGATTCCCTCACAATTCCAGGATTTGCCCATGCTTCCCTCAGAATTCCAGGATTTTATTCAAGATTCCCTCAGAATTCCATGACCCCTCAGAATTGTGGGATTTCACCCACGATCCCCTCAGAATTCCAGGATTTTATCCACAATTCCCTCAGAATTCCAGGATTTTATCCACAATTCCCTCAGAATTCCATGACCCCCTCAGAATTCCATGATTTTACCCACGATTCCCTCAGAATTCCAGGATTTTATCCAGAATTCCAGGATTTTATCAATAATTCCCTCAGAATTCCACAATTTTATCAACAATTCCCTCAGAATTCCAGGATTTTACTCACAATTCCCTCATAATTTCACAATTTTATCCACAATTCCAGGATTTCACCCACGATTCCCTCAGAATTACACAATTTTATCCACAATCCCCTCACAATTCCAAGATTTTACCCACAATTTCCCCCCCCACCCCCCATCCCCACAAACTCCTATCCACAATTCCCTCGGAATTCCAGGATTTCACCCATGACTCCCTCAGAATTCCACGATTTTATCCACAATTCCCTCAGAATTCCCGGATTTTATCCACAATTCCCTCATAATTCCACAATTTTATCCACGATTCCCTCGGAATTCCAGGATTTTACCCATGATTCCCTCAGAATTCCAGGATTTTATTCACTATTTCCCTGGAATTCCAGGATTTTATCCACAACTCCCTCAGAATTCCACAATTTTATCCACAATCCCTCAGAATTCCAGGATTTCATGATCCCCTCAGAATTCCAGGATTTTATCCACAATTCCTTCAGAATTCCATGATCCCCTCAGAATTCCAGGATTTTATCCACAATTCCCTCGGAATTCCAGGATTTCACCCACGATCCCCTCAGAATTCCACGATTTCATCCACAATTCCCTCAGAATTCCATGACCCCTCAGAATTCCGGGATTTCACCCACGATTCCCTCAGAATTCCAGGATTTTACCCACGACTCTCTCAGAATTCCAGGATTCCCTCAGAATTCCACAATTTCATCCACAGTTTCCCTCAGAATTCCAGGATTTTATCCACAATTCCCTCAGAATTCCAGGATTTTACCCACGATTCCCTCTGAATTCCAGGATTTTACCCACAATTCCCTTCCCCGCCATTCCCCAGCAGGACAATTCCCGAAATTCCCGGAATTCCCGAGGATTTTCCCGGATCCCTCACCTCCCTCTCAGCCTCCTCGTGGCAGCGGGCGCTTTCCAGGAGCTCCTGGAGCTGCCTCCGGACCAGCTCCTTCCTGGGACACAGCCCCAGCGCCGTCCCCAGGCACCGGTACAGGAAATTCACCCCCCCCCTTCCCCAGCAGGAGAATTCCCGGCATTCCCGGAATTCCCGAGGATTTTCCTCACCTCCCTCTCGGCCTCCTCCTGGCAGCGGGCGCTTTCCAGGAGCTCCTGGAGCTGCCTCCGGACCAGCTCCTTCCTGGGACACAGCCCCAGCGCCGTCCCCAGGCACCGGTACAGGAAATTCTGGGGAAAAAACCCAAAAAACGGGAATTGCAGCGGGAAAAAGCTCGGGATGAGGCGGGGAAATTCCGGGAATTTCACCTTCTCCTCCTGGGAGCCGTCGGAGGCGCGGAGCTGCCGGAAGGCCTCGGACACCAAGGGGCAAATCCAGGATTTATCCGGGATGGATTCCAGGGATTCCTGGAGGAACTGGGATGGAAATGGGGGGTGGGAATGGCGGGAATTCCACACGGGAATTCCGAGCCCCTGGAATCCATGGGAAAGGACTTTGGAATGTTGGGTTTCCAGCCCAAATCCCCATGGAAAATCCCTCTGGAGTTCTGGTTTCCCACCCAAATTCCCATGGAAAAGCCCTTTGGAATTCTGGTTTCCCATCCCAAATTCCCTTTGGAATTCTCGTTTCCCACCCCAAAATCCCAAGAAAAGCTGAGAACCCTTTGGAATTCTGATTTTTCCATGACGAATTCCCATGGAAAAGCCCTTTGGAATTCTGGATTCCCACCCCAAAATCCCTTTGGAATTCTGCTTTCCCATCCCAAAATCCCTCAGGAATTCCTGTTTCCCGTCCCAAAATCCCTTTGGAGTTCTGGTTTCCCACCCCAAATTCCCTTTGGAATTCTGGTCTTCCACCCCAAATTCCCATGGAAAATCCCTTTGGAATTCTGGTTTCCCATCCCAAATTCCCATGGAAAAACCCTTTGGAATTTCCGTGTGCCATCCCAAAATCCCTTTGGAATTCTGGTTTCCCATCCTAAATTCCCATGAAATTCTAAAATCCCTTTGGAATTCTGGTTTTCCCATCCCAAATCCCTTTGGAATTCCCATTTCCCACCCCAAAATCCCTTTGGAATTCTGGTTTCCCATCCCAAAATCCCTTTAGAATTCCTGTTTCCCATCCCAAATCCCTTTAGAATTCTGGTTTCCCATCCCAAAATCCCTTTAGAATTCCTGTTTCCACCCCAAATTCCCATGGAAAAACCCTTTGGGATTCTGGTTTTCCATCCCCAAATTCCTACTAAATGCTCAGATCCCTTTGGAATTCTTCTTGTTCCCCATCCCAAAATCCCAAGAAAAGCTGAGAACCCTTTGGAATTCTGATTTTTCCATGACGAATTCCCATGGAAAAGCCCTTTGGAATTCTGGATTCCCACCCCAAATTCCCTTTGGAATTCTGGTTTCCCATCCTAAATTCCCATGAAATTCTAAAATCCCTTTGGAATTCTGGTTTTCCCATCCCAAATCCCTTTGGAATTCCCATTTCCCACCCCAAAATCCCTTTGGAATTCTGCTTTCCCATCCCAAAATCCCTCAGGAATTCCAGTTTCCCACCCCAAATTCCCTTTGGAATTTTGGTCTTCCACCCCAAATTCCCATGGAAAATCCCTTTGGAATTCTGGTTTCCACCCCAAATTCCCATGGAAAAACCCTTTGGGATTCTGGTTTTCCATCCCCAAATTCCTACTAAATGCTCAGATCCCTTTGGAATTCTCATTTCCCATCCCAAATTCCTCTGGAATTCGGATTTTCCACCCTAAAATCCCTTTGGAATTCTGGTTTTCCATCCCAATTTTCCTTTGGAATGCTGGTTTTCCACCCCAAATTCCTTCGGAATTCTGGTTTCCCATCCCAAATTCCTTTGGAATTCTGGTTTCCCATCCCAAAAACCCTTTGGAATTCTGGTTTCCCATCCCCATTTTCTCATGGAATTCTAATGAATCTTTGGAATTCTGGCTTTCCACCCCAAAAATCCCTCTGGAATTCTGGTTTTCCATCCCAAATTCCCATGGAAAATCCCTTTGTAATTCTGGTTTCCCATCCCAAATTCCCAAGGAATTCTACGGAACCTTTGGAATTCTCATTTCCCATCCCAAATTCCTCTGGAATTCCATGGACCCTTTGGAATTCTGGCTTGCCACCCCAAAATCCCTCCGGAATTCGGGTTTTCCACCCTAAAATTCCTTTGGAATTCTGGTTTCCCATCCCAAATTTTCCCATTAAATGCTTCCAACCGTTTGGAATTCTGGTTTCCCACCCCAAATTCCCATGGAAAATCCCTTTGGAATTCTGGTTTCCCATCCCAAATCCCTTTGGGAATCCCGAATTCCCACGAAACCAGCCTGGCCCCTTTCCCTGGGAACCCCAATCCCGGATTTTCCCGGAATTTGGATTTTCTGCCCTTTTCCCAATCCAGGATTCCTTTTCCAGAGGCAAAATCCCGGGAAAAGCTCCCCCGGAATTCCCGGGATCCTCACCTGGAGCAGCTTCTCCTCCCATTCCTCCTGGTCCAGGGAACCCTCGGAGTTTTCTGGGGAAAAAATCGGGATTTTGGGAATTTTGATGTGGGGATGTGGGGAGAATTCCTCAGGGAAAAAAAATCTGGGAAAGCTGGAGAAATTCCCAGGTGGGAAAAGTGGGAATTCTGCTGGATCTGCATTTGGGATCGGGGATCACAGGGAGTTGGGGCAGATTCCCCAAAAAAAGGGAGGTGGGGAGTGGATCCCAAAAAATCCCATTATCCCAGAAATCCTAGAAATCCCAAAAATCCCATAAATCCCAGAAATCCCAAAAATCCCATTATCCCAGAAATCTTAGAAATCCCAAAAATCCCATCTCTTCCCATAAATCCCATTATCCCAGAAATCCCATTATCCCGTAAGTCAAAAAAATCCCAGAAATCCAAAAAAATCCCAAAAATCCCATTATGCCATGGAATTCTGAAATCCCATTATCCCAGAAATCCCAAAACTCCCATAAATCCCAAAAATCCCAAAAATCCCATTGTCCCAAAAAAACTATTATCCTATAAATCCCAAAAACCCCATAAATCCCATTATCATAGAAATCCTAGAAATCCCAAAAATCCCATAAATCCCATTACCCCAACAATCCCATTATCCTATAAATCCCAAAAATCCCATAAATCCCAAAAATCCCAGAAGCCCCAGAAATCCTATCAATCCCATTATCCCAAAAAATTCCAAAAAATCCCATAAATCCCATCAATCCCATAAATGCCATTATCCCAAAAATCCCATAAATCCCAAAAATCCCAGAAGCCCCAGAAATCCTATCAATCCCATTATCCCAAAAATTCCAAAAGATCCCATAAATCCCATCAATCCCATAAATGCCATTATCCCAAAAATCCCATTTTCCTATAAATCCCAAAAATCCCATTATCCCAAAAATCCCATAAATCCCAAAAATCCTATAAATCCCATGGATCCTATAAATCCAGTTATCCCAAAAATCCCATAAATCCCATTATCCCAAAAAAACCATTATCCCATGAATCCCAAAAATCCCAGAAACCCCATATATCCCAAAAATCCCAGAAATCCCAGAAATCCCAAAAATCCCAGAAATCCCAAAAATCCCAGTATCCCAGAAATCCCAAAAAATCCCATTATCCCATTACCCCAAAAATCCCATAAATCCCATATATCCAAAAAACCCCATTATCCTATAAAGTCCAAAAACCCCATAAATCCCATTATCCCAGAAATCCCAGAAATCCCGTTATCCCATGGATTCCATTAATCCCATAAATCCCATTATCCCATACACCCCATGATCCGGTAAATCCCATCAAACCCATTATCTCATCAAGCCCAAAAATCCCAAAAAACCCCTTAATCCCATAAATCCCATCAATCCCATTATCCCAGAAATCCCATTATCCTATAACTCCCAAAAATCCCAGACATCCCAAAAAATCCCATAAATCCCATTAAGCCATGGATCCCGAAAATGCCAATATCCCAAAATTCCCACCAATCCCGTAATCCCACGGATTCCATTAATCCCATCCCACAAATCCCATCCCATAATCCCAAAAATCCCATTCTCCCATCAATCCCCCAGATCCCATGGATCCCAAAATCCCATCCCATTATCCCATCCATCCCATTATCTCTTTTTCCCATTTTCCCATGGATCCCACCCCATCAATCCCAAAAATCCCATCAATCCCGTTATCAGTCATCCATTATCCCATCTCTTCCCATGAATCCCATAAATCCCATCAATCACATGGATCCCATGAATCCCATTATCCCATAAATCCCATTGATCCCATCAATCCCATTGGCCCATGGATCTCAAGAAATCCCAAAAATCCCATTATCCCAGAAATCCCATTATCCCAGAAACCGGTAAATCCCATCAATCCCATCGATCCCATTATTGCATGGATCCCATTATCCCATGGATCCCATAATCCCAGAAATCCCGTTATCCCATGGATTCCATTAATCCCATAAATCCCATCAATCCCATGACCAGTTATCCATTATCCCATCTCTTCCCATGAATCCCATGAATCCCATTATCCCATAAATCCCATCAATCCCATTATCCCATCAATCCCATTGATCCCATAGAACCCATTGGCCCATGGATCTCAAAAATCCCAAAAAACCCGTTATCCCAGAAATCCCATGACCAGATCCCATGGATCCCAAAATCCCATCCCATTATCCCATCCATCCCATTATCTCTTTTTCCCATTTTCCCATGGATCCCACCCCATCAATCCCAAAAATCCCATCAATCCCATGACCAGTTATCCATTATCCCATCTCTTCCCATGAATCCCATGAATCCCATTATCCCATAAATCCCATCAATCCCATGGATCCCATGAATCCCATTATCCCATCAATCCCATTAATCCCATTGGCCCATGGATCTCAAAAATCCCAAACAACCCATTATCCCAGAAATCCCATGATCCCATAAACCGGGAAATCCCATTAATCCCATCAATCCCATTGGCCCATGGATCTGAAAAATCCCAAACAACCCGTTATCCCAGAAATCCCATGATCCCACAAACCGGGAAATCCCATTAATCCCATCGATCCCATTATTGCATGCATCCCATAAATCCCATAAATCTCATTATCCCATGGATTCCACTAATCCCATAAATCCCATTTTCCCATAAACCCCATGATCCGGTAAATCCCATCAAGCCGAAAAATCCCAAAAAACCCCTTAATCCCATAAATCCCATCGATCCCATTATCCCAAAATTCCCAGAAATCCCGTTATCCCATGGATTCCATTGATCCCATAGTTATCCCATGGATTCCATTAATCCCATCAATCCCATTGGCCCATGGATCTGAAAAATCCCAAACAACCCGTTATCCCAGAAATGCCATGATCCCACAAACCGGGAAATCCCATCAATCCCATTATTCCATGGATCCCATAAATCCCCCAAATCCCATAAGTCTCATTATCCCATGGATTCCACTAATCCCATAAATCCCATTTTCCCATAAACCCCATGATCCGGTAAATCCCATCAAGCCCAAAAATCCCAAAAAACCCCTTAATCCCATAAATCCCATCGAGCCCATTAGCCCAAAATTCCCAGAAATCCCGTTATCCCATGGATTCCATTGATCCCATCAATCCCATTACCCCATAAATCCCATCAAACCCATTATCCCAAAATTCCCGGAAATCCCGTTATCCCATGGATTCCATTGATCCCATCAATCCCATTGATCCCATTATTCCATGGATCCCATAAATCCCACAAATCCCAGTATCCCATGGATCCCATAAATCCCAAAAATCCCGTTATTCCATGGATTCAATTAATCCCATAAATCCCATCAATCCCATTATCCCATAAATCCCACTGATCCCATAAAACCCATTGGCCCATGGATCTCAAAAATCCCAAAAATCCCATTATCCCAGAAATCCCATTATCCCAGAAACCGGTAAATCCCATCAATCCCATCGATCCCATTATTGCATGGATCCCATTATCCCATGGATCCCATAATCCCAGAAATCCCGTTATCCCATGGATTCCATTAATCCCATAAATCCCATTATCCCATACACCCCATGATCCGGTAAATCCCATCAAACCCATTATCTCATCAAGCCCAAAAATCCCAAAAAACCCCTTAATCCCATAAATCCCATCAATCCCATTATCCCATCAATCCCATTGATCCCATAGAACCCATTGGCCCATGGATCTCAAAAATCCCAAAAAACCCGTTATCCCAGAAATCCCATGATCCCACAAACCGGGAAATCCCATTAATCCCATCGATCCCATTATTGCATGGATCCCATTATCCCATGGATCCCATAATCCCAGAAATCCCGTTATCCCATGGATTCCATTGATCCCATAAATCCCATTGGCCCATGGATCTGAAAAATCCCAAACAACCCGTTATCCCAGAAATGCCATGATCCCACAAACCGGGAAATCCCATCAATCCCATTATTCCATGGATCCCATAAATCCCACAAATCCCAGTGTCCCCTGGATCCCATCAATCCCCTTACCCCATCAATCCCATTGATCCCATCAATCCCATTATTCCATGGATCCCATAAATCCCATAAATCCCATTAATCCCATCGGTCCCAGTATTCCATGGGTTCCATAAATCCCCCAAATCCCATTATCTCATGGATCTCATAATCCCAAAAATCCCATTAACCCATGGATCCCATAAATCCCATAAATCCCATTAATCCCATCAATCCCATTATTGCATGCATCCCATAAATCCCCCAAATCCCAGTGTCCCATGGATCCCATAAATCCCATAAATCCCATTAATCCCATCAATCCCATTACCCCATAAATCCCCTTACCCCATCAATCCCACGGATCCCATAAATCCCACAAATCCCCCAAATCCCAGTGTCCCATGGATCCCATAAATCCCATAAATCCCATTAATCCCATTGGTCCCAGTATTCCATGGATCCCACAAATCCCCCAAATCCCCTGGATCCCAAAATCCCAAAAGTTTAATTCATTACTTCGGTGCTCTCCCACCTTGGAGGAGGAGCAGCAGCTTGGGGATCCTGCGCTCCCAGAGCTCGCCCAGCCCGGGCTGCAGCCGCAGCTCCTGCAGCAGCCGCAGCTCCTGCAGCAGCCGCAGCGCCGGCGCCGCGCACGGCCCCGGGGACTGGGAGACTGCCTGGGGAACGGGGAAATGGGGTGAGAAACGGGAAATCGGGAAATGGGGAAAAATGGGGTGAGATAGTCATTAGAGATTTCAAACCTTAGCATCCCATAAATCCCATTAATCCCATTGGTCCCAGTATTCCATGGATCCCACAAATCCCCCAAATCCCCTGGATCCCAAAATCCCAAAAGTTTAATTCATTACTTCGGTGCTCTCCCACCTTGGAGGAGGAGCAGCAGCTTGGGGATCCTGCGCTCCCAGAGCTCGCCCAGCCCGGGCTGCAGCCGCAGCTCCTGCAGCAGCCGCAGCTCCTGCAGCAGCCGCAGCGCCGGCGCCGCGCACGGCCCTGGGGCCTGGGACACCGCCTGGGGAACGGGGAAATGGGGTGAGAAACGGGAAATCGGGGAAATGGGGAAAATGGGAACGGGAAAATGGGGTGAGAACCGGGAAATCGGGGGTAAAAACAGGGAAATGGGGTGAGAAACGGGGAATCGGGAAATGGGGAAAATGGGAACGGGGAAATGGGGTGAGAACCGGGAAATCGGGGATAAAAACAGGGAAAATGGGGTGAAAACCGGGAAATCGGGGAAATCGGGGATGGGAACGGGGATAAACACCGGGAAATCGGGGGTAAAAACAGGGAAATGGGGTGAGAAATGGGAAATCGGGGAAATGGGGAAAATGGGAACGGGGAAATGGGGTGAGAACCAGGAAATCGGGGAAATCGGGGATGGGAACGGGGATAAACACCGGGAAATCGGGGAAATGGGGTAAAAACAGGGAGAATGGTGTGAGAACCGCGAAATCGGGGAAATTGGGGATGGGAATGGGAAAATGGGGTGAGAACCGGGAAATCGGGGATAAAAACAGGGAAAATGGGGTGAGAACCGGGAAATCGGGGTAAAAACAGGGAAAATGGGGATAAAAACTGGGAAATCGGGGAAATCAGGGATAAAAACAGGGAAAATGGGGATAAAAACCGGGAAATCAGGGAAATGGGGAAAATGGGAATGGGAAAATGGGGATAAAAACCGGGAAATCGGGGAAATCGGGGATGGGAACGGGAAAATGGGGATAAAAACCGGGAAATCGGGGATAAAAACAGGGAAAATGGGGTGAGAACCGGGAAATCGGAGAAATCGGGGATAAAAACCGGGAAATCGGGGATAAAAACAGGGAAAATGGGGTGAAAACCGGGAAATCGGGAAAATCGGGGATAAAAACAGGGAAATCGGGAAAAATGGGAATGGGAATGGGGATAAACACTGGGAAATCGGGAAAAATGGGATAAAAACCGGGAAATTGGGAAAATCGGGGATGGGAACAGGGATAAAAACCAGGAAATCGGGAAAATCGGGGATAAAAACAGGGAAATTGGGAAAAATGGGAATGGGAACGGGCTGGGGAATGGAAATGGGAATGGAAATGGGAATGGAAATGGGAAAATGGGGATAAAACCAGGGAAATCGGGAAAATCGGGAATGGAAATGGGGATAAAAACTGGGAAAATGGGAAAAATGGGATTAAAATGGGCTAAAACCCAGGAAATCGGGAAAATCGGGGATAAAAACAGGGAAATTTCGGAAAAAAGGGATTAAAATGGGGATAAAAATGGGAATGGAAATGGAAAAATAGGAATGGAAATGGGAATGGAAATGGGAAAAACGGGAATGGAAATGGGCTGCGGAATATGGGGAATGGAAATGGGAATGGGAATAAAATGGGAAAGGAAATGGGAATGGGAATGGGGAATGGGGATAAAAATGGGAATGGAAAAACAGGAATTTAAATGGGAATAAAATGGGAAAATTGGAATGAAAATGGGAATGGAAATGGGAAAAATGGGAATTTAAATGGGAATAAAATGGAGAAATTGGGAATGAAAATGGGAATGGAAATGGGGAAAATAGGAACTTAAATGGGAATAAAATGGGGATAAAAATGGGAATGGAAATGGAAAAATAGGAATGGAAATGGGAATGGAAATGGGAAAAACGGGAATGGAAATGGGCTGGGAATATGGGGAATGGAAATGGGAAAAAATGGAGAATGGGAACAAAATGGGAAAGGAAATGGGAATGGAAATGGGAATAAAATGGGAAAATCGGGAATGAAAATCAACTGAGGAACATGGGGAATGGAAATGGGAAAAAATGGAGAATGGGAACAAAATGGGAAAGGAAATGGGAATGGGAATGGGGAAATGGGGATAAAAATGGGAATGGAAAAGGAAAAATAGGAATTTAAATGGGAATAAAATGGGAAAATGGGAATGAAAATGGGAATAAAATGGGAAAATTGGAATGAAAATGGGAATGGAAATGGGAATAAAATGGGAAAATCGGGAATGAAAATCAACTGAGGAACATGGGGAATGGAAATGGGAAAAATGGGAATAAAATGGAAAAAATAAGAATTTAAATGGGATTGGAAGTGAGAAAAATGGGAATGAAAATGGGAATGGAAATGGGAATAAAATGGGGAAAATAGGAATTAAAATGGGAATGGAAATGGGGATAAAAATGGGAATAAAATGGGGATAAAAACTGGGAAAATGGGAAAATCGGGAAGGAAAATGAGCTGGGGAGTAAGGGGGATGGAAATGGGAATGGAAATGGAATAAAATGGGAAGAAAAATGGGGAAAATGGTAAAAATAGGAATGAAAATCAACTGGGGAATAAGGGGAATGGAAATGGGAATGGAAACGGGGAAATGGGGACAAAAATGGGAATAAAATGGGGGAAAGGGGAATAAAAATGGGAATAAAAAGGGGAATGAAAATGGGGAAAATGGGAATAAAAATGGGAATAAAATTGGGATAAAAAGGGGGAAAATGGGAATGAAAATCAACTGGGAAATAAAGGGAATGGAAACGGGGAAATGGGAAAAATGGGAATGAAAATGGGGAAATGGGGATAAAAATGGGAATAAAAATGGGAAAATTGGGAATAACATCATTGGGGAAAATGGGAATAAAAACACCGTGAAAAATGGGAAAAATGGGAATAAAAAGGGGGAAAATGGGAATAAAAATGGGAAAGAAAATGGGAAAATCTGGGAATAAAAACACCAGGAAAAATGGGAATAAAAACACCGGGAAAATGGGAATAAAAATGGGAAAGAAAATGGGAAAATTTGGGAATAAAAACACCAGGAAAATGGGAATAAAAATGGGAATAAGAACACCAGGGAAAGTGGAAATAAAAATGGGAAAATCTGGAATGAAAATGGGAAAATTTGGAATAAAAACCCTGGGAAACTTGGGAATGAAACTGGGAAACTTGGGAATGAGAAAATTGGGAATGGAAAATTCCCCAACTCACCAGGAGCCGGAGGGTCAGCGCTTGTGGAGAAGGGAGATCTCCTGGAAAAGGAGAAAAATGGGAATGAAATCAAATCCAGGGAATTCCAGGGGATTTTGGGGATTTTTGGGGATTTTTTGGGATTTTTTGAGAAATTCCTGGGGTTTTATTGGGAATTCTTAGGGATTTTTGGGGATTCACAGGGATTTTTTGGGATTTTTTTGGGAATTCCCAGGAATTGTTGGGATTTTATTGGGAATTCCTGGGGGGATGGAAATGGGAATGGGAATAAAATGGGAAAGGAAATGGGAATGGGAATGGGGAATGGGGATAAAAATGGGAATGGAAAAACAGGAATTTAAATGGGAATAAAATGGGAAAATTGGAATGAAAATGGGAATGGAAATGGGAATAAAATGGGAAAATCGGGAATGAAAATCAACTGAGGAACATGGGGAATGGAAATGGGAAAAATGGGAATAAAATGGAAAAAATAAGAATTTAAATGGGATTGGAAGTGAGAAAAATGGGAATGAAAATGGGAATGGAAATGGGGATAAAAATGGGAATAAAATGGGAATGAAAATGGGAAAAATGGGGATAAAAATGGGAATAAAATGGGGATAAAAACGGGAATAAAATGGGGATAAAAATGGGAAAATCAGGAATGAAAATGGGCTCGGTAATATGGGGAATGGAAATGGGAAAAATGGGAATTTAAATGGGAATAAAATGGGGATAAAAATGGGAATGGAAATAGGAAAAATAGGAATGAAAATGGGAATAAAATGGGAAAATAGGAATTAAAATGGGAAGGAAAATGGGGAAATGGGGATAAAAATGGGAAAAAAAAGGGAAAAATAGGAATTAAAATGGGAATAAAATGGGAAAATCAGAATGAAAATGGGAATGGAAATGGGGATAAAAATGACAATAAAATGGGGAAAAAATAGGAATGGAAATGGGAATGGGAACGGGAATGGAAATGGGAAAAATGGGAATAAAAATGGGAATAAAATGGGGATAAAAAGGGGGGAAATGGGAATGAAAATCAACTGGGGAATAAAGGGAATGGAAATGGGAATCGAAACGGGGAAATGGGAAAGAAAATGGGAATGAAAATGGGGAAAATGGGAAAAATGGGAATGAAAATGGGGAAATGGGGATAAAAATGGGAAAAAAAAGGGAAAAATAGGAATTAAAATGGGAATAAAATGGGAAAATCAGAATGAAAATGGGAATGGAAATGGGGATAAAAATGACAATAAAATGGGGAAAAAATAGGAATGGAAATGGGAATGGGAACGGGAATGGAAATGGGAAAAATGGGAATAAAAATGGGAATAAAATGGGAAGAAAAACAGGGAAAATGGTAAAAATAGGAATGAAAATCAACTGGGGAATAAGGGGAATGGAAATGGGAATGGAAACGGGGAAATGGGGACAAAAATGGGAATAAAATGGGGGAAAGGGGAATAAAAATGGGAATAAAACCAGGGAAAGTGGGAATAAAAATGGGAATAAAAATGGGAATAAAAAGGGGAATGAAAATGGGGAAAATGGGATAAAAATGGGGAAATGGGGATAAAAATGGGAGTAAAATGGGAATAAAATGGGAAAAATGGAAATCAAAATGGGAATGGAAATGGGGATAAAAATGGCAATGAAAATGGGAAAAATGGGAATAAAAGTGGGAATAAAATGGGAATGAAAGTGGGAAAAATGGGAATAAAAATGGGAATAAAATGGGGATAAAAAGGGGGGAAATGGGAATGAAAATCAACTGGGGAATAAAGGGAATGGAAATGGGAATCGAAACGGGGAAATGGGAAAGAAAATGGGAATGAAAATGGGGAAAATGGGAAAAATGGGAATGAAAATGGGGAAATGGGGATAAAAATGGGAATAAAAATGGGAAAATTGGGAATAAAAACACCGGGAAAAATGGGAATGAAAATAGGAATAACAATGGGAAAATTGGGAATAACATCATTGGGAAAAATGGGAATAAAAACACCGTGAAAAATGGGAAAAATGGGAATAAAAAGGGGGAAAATGGGAATAAAAATGGGAAAGAAAATGGGAATTTTGGTGAAGTCCCAGGATTTTTTGGGGTGAATTCCCAGGATTTTTTGTTGAATTCTCGGGATTTTCTGAGTGAATTCGTGGGATTTTTGGGGAATTACTGTGGATTTTTTGGGGATTTTTTTGCAAATTCTCAGGGATTTTTGGGAATTCTGTGGATTTTGGGGCTCACCTGGGGGCTCGGAGCCGTGTTCCAGGCACTCCAGGTGGATTTTGGGGGCCAGCAGGGCGAGGCTGCGGCACAGCGGGGCCAGGGCCCCACGCAGCCCCGGCCGCAGCAGCAGCGGCAGCAGCGCGCGCCACAGAACCTGCGGCGACACGGGGAAATAATGGGGAAATGGGGGAAAATGGGGGAAAATGGGGGAAAAATGGGGGATAAATGGGGAATACATGGGGAATAAATGGGGGAATAATGGGGGACAAATGGGGGATTAATGGGGGAAATAATGGGGGAAATAATGGGGAATAAATGGGGAATAAATGGGGGATAAATGGGGGAAATAATGGGGAATAAATCAGAAAATAATGGGGAATAAATGAGGGAAAAATAGAGATAAATGGGGAAATAATGGGGGGAAATAATGGGGAAAATAATGGGGAATAAATGGGGAAATAATGGGGAATAAATGGGGAATAAATGGGGGATAAATGGGGGAAATAATGGGGAATAAATCAGAAAATAATGGGGAATAAATGAGGGAAAAATAGAGATAAATGGGGAAAAATAGAGATAAATGGGGGATTAATGGGGGAAATAATGGGGAAAATAATGGGGAATAAATGGGGGAAAATAGACATAAATGGGGGAAATAATGGGGAATAAATGGGGAATAAATCGGAAAATAATGGGGAATAAATGGGGGAAAAATAGAGATAAATGGGGGATAAATGGGGGAAATAATGGGGAAAAATGCAGAAATAATGGTAAAAAAATGGGGGGAAAATGGGAAAGAAATGGGAAAGAAATGGGGAAAATAATGGGGAAAAAATGGGGAATAAATGGGGAATAAATGGGGAATAAACGGGAAATGAACAGGGAAAATATGGAAATTTTGGGAATAAAATCTCCTCAGGATGGGGAATTTCGGGCTGGAATCTTCCAGGATTTTTGGTTTCTTTGGGAATTTTGGGATTTTATTCCCAGAATTTGAATTTTTTGGGGGATTTTGGGGAATTTTTGGGATTTTTGGGCTCTCCCGTGGCTGATCCCGGGCACGGCGCTGCTGAGTGGGAGCAGGGAACCCCTCGGGATGGGGATTTTGGGCTGAAATCTCCCAGAAATGGGAATTTTGGGGTTTTTTCCCTTTGGGAATTTTGGAATTTCTATGTTTTTGGGATTTTGGGGCTCTCACGTGGGTGATCCCAGGCACGGCGCTGCTGAGCAGAAGCAGGGAACCCCTCGGGATGGGAATTTTGGGCTGAAATCTCCCAGAAATGGGAATTTTGGGGTTTTTTCCCTTTGGGAATTTTGGAATTTCTATGTTTTTGGGATTTTGGGGCTCTCACGTGGGTGATCCCAGGCACGGATTTTGGGCTGAAATCTCCCAGGGTTTTGGGATTTTTGGGAATTTGGGGGTTTTATTCCCAGAATTTCTATTTTTTGGGATTTTTGGGGAATTTTTTGGGGATTTTGGGGCTCTCACGTGGGTGATCCCAGGCACGGCGCTGCTGAGCAGAAGCAGGGAACCCCTCGGGATGGGAATTTTGGGCTGAAATCTCCCAGAAATGGGAATTTTGCCATTTTTTCTCTTTGGGAATTTTAGAATTTCTAATTTTTTTTGGGTTTTTTGGGATTTTGGGGCTCTCACGTGGGTAATCCCAGGCACGGCGCTGCTGAGCAGGAGCAGGGAACCCCTTGGGATGGGGATTTTGGGCTGAAATCTCCCAGGATTGGGAATTTTGGGGAATTTGGGGGTTTTGTTCCCAGAATTTCTATTTTTTGGGTTTTTGGGATTTTGGGGCTCTCATGTGGCTGATCCCAGGCACGGCGCTGCTGAGCAGGAGCAGGGAACCCCTTGGGATGGGGATTTTGGGCTGAAATCTCCCAGGATTGGGAATTTTGGGGAATTTGGGGGTTTTGTTCCCAGAATTTCTATTTTTTGGGTTTTTGGGATTTTGGGGCTCTCATGTGGCTGATCCCAGGCACGGCGCTGCTGAGCAGGAGCAGGGAACCCCTCGGGATGGGGATTTTGGGCTGAAATCTCCCAGGATTTTTGGGATTTTTGGGACTGGAATCCTTTGGGATTGGGAATTTTGGGCTGAAATCTCCCAGAAATGGGAATTTTGCCATTTTTTCTCTTTGGGAATTTTAGAATTTCTAATTTTTTTTGGGTTTTTTGGGATTTTGGGGCTCTCACGTGGGTAATCCCAGGCACGGCGCTGCTGAGCAGGAGCAGGGAACCCCTCGGGATGGGGATTTTGGGCTGAAATCTCCCAGAAATGGGAATTTTGCCATTTTTTCTCTTTGGGAATTTTAGAATTTCTAATTTTTTTTGGGTTTTTTGGGATTTTGGGGCTCTCACGTGGGTAATCCCAGGCACGGCGCTGCTGAGCAGGAGCAGGGAACCCCTCGGGATGGGGATTTTGGGCTGAAATCTCCCAG